AAAAAATTCCAAAAACCTGATTTAAGTATCTATAGTTTAGAAATGTTGTATATTTTAATACCCATTATTGATATAAAAAATAAAGTCGATTATGTTATTAAAATACAATTTCCAAAGAAATATTATACAAACTATATATATATATTAATTATATAATTTAAATAAGAACAGATTTTGAATACAAAAAGATTGGTAAAGTTTTCAAATATTGATTATTGTTCATGGACTGTATGGGAAGCTTCCAAACCTGTCAACATACATAAGACCAAAACACATTTCATAAGCCATGATCTCATTGTCACTTTCCAACAAACATCACAGGGTTGTTTCCTCGAACCATCACATACGTTGCTTTGCATCCTTCAACTTTGATGCATTACTTTTACTTTGACCAAAACCCCCCAAGAAAATGATAACTTTCAACATCTCCATTTGCTTATAACAAATATATATATATATATATATATATATTCATTCAAGAATATGTTAATTCACTTGTATTTATATTATGTTAATGAATTATATTCAACAATGAATATACACTAAAAAATTATTAGTTTGCTGGTATTAGAGTATTTGCAAAAATAGGCTCTATATATACATATCATATATAAGTTTAGACATTGTCTTTTATTTTCTAACCGACATTTACAAAATACAAAAAATGGTTAAATGTCATAATAGAATTTTTTTTATCACTTAAATTTATATATAGGAGCAAAATTTTATGACCTCTATATGTAAAAGTGTTACATAAGTGTATATTACACTTTTGAAGATTTTAACAAGTTTTTAGGATACGTTTTCTTTATTGAATATTTTTTAAAAGTCTAATGGATTATACGATCGATATTTGTTCTTATGAGACACTTTTTTAAATAACTAGAATGATGCTCGCATAATATAACGAGATATATCTCAATTTTAATGTTTCCTTTTATTATTTATCTATGTCGATATAATACGGTTTTTAATGGTTTTGAGAAAACGATAATGTTTCTATTTTTTAATAAAATATAAATTTAAATATATTATAAAAAATTGAGAAAAATATATATATCGATATTAACTATTTAAAGTTCTGGTTTTTTTTGTAATTTCTTTAAATCAATATTTTATTTATAATTTGATTTAGATTTAATAACGAAGTAATTTATTTATCGTTTAATAATATAATTTTTATAAAAATAATAATTAAGTATTTTGTTATAACTAATGATTATTCTAGTTATATTCTAGATTTTTTAAATTCAAAATGAGATGTCTATCCCGTATTTGATTATGTTTATCTATAATTAGTTACACAAATTCAAAATGAAACTTTAATAAGTTGTACTTATGAAAAATTTACTTGTGATCTTGAATTTTAAGTAATATGTATCAATAAACAGTACTTATATACATAAAAAATGGTTTTTAAGAGTTTTTGTTAAATGCTTTATAATCAGGGCCGTCCCTAGGGGAGGACGGCACGGGCGCACGCTCAGGGCCCAAAAATATTAGGGGCCCAAATTTTTCATAAAAAAAAATACAATAGTAGTCTAAAAGAATTTAATGAAATAAAGAAACCCAAAAAGTTGTAACATATAATAAGAAGCAACAAAATTAGTACATAATAAGAGCCCAAAAATATATTGGAAAAGAAAATAAAAAAATTAATTGATCATTCATTATATGCTATTGTTTTTTTTCCCTCTAATTTTTTTTTATCTTCAACAAGGTCCAATGATATTGGTTATTGTTATCTCTATATGCTTGACTGTTTTTATGCTTCAACAATTCAATGTTAAGATCATGTGTTTGTTATTGCTATATATTTTTGTTGGATATTTTTATCAATTTCTGCTTCTATTGACTATTGTTATTTGGTTATGTTGTTTTAATTGTTTTTGTTGACTATTGTTAAATATTTTTGCTTATACATAAAATATTTTACTATTGTTTGACAATCAATCTATTGTTCTTATAATTTATGATGTGTTTCATAGTTTTGTGATTAATCAATAATTTTTTCTTCTAGATGTATTTAATAATGTCTCTTATATATGTTATGTTTCATAAACTTATAATCTTAACATATTATTTTAGTTGAGCAAAAAAAGAAGAAAAATAAAATTTAAATATTTTCATCAATTGTTTGACTTATATATCTTTTACTGGGATTCCACCGCACTACAAGATTCTATTTAAGTACTCAAAYAATCATTTGTTGAGCTTGCATATTATATGTTTAATTCATTATTTATTCTTATTAGATTTCAAAGAATCATCTWTTCTTTCATATTYGTATTGATCATCATTTGTYTACTTGTCTAGAAAACCTTGATAATCTTMTTTATTATTGATCTCTCATTGACCCTTACGATTACTCCATTCATACAAATTCTCGTTTTCTTAATCAAAATAACACATATTTCTTGTTATGAACTAGAAAAATTCTCACTTTTTATAAAAAATTATCAACCATAGTTTTTTATACTCCTGGTTTCAAATTACCTAATAAGTACGTAAATTTAAGTAACCACAACGGCGGTGCCTGATTGGTTTGAGCTTGACTCCAAAGATCAAAAGTACCTGGAGGTCCCAGGTTCAAATCCAAGAAAGAACAAAAATACCCTTGTGGCCACGGAGGTTCAAATACGGTGACTCCGGGATACCTTCAAAGCAGGTGGTTGTCCTGAGATTAGTCGGCTCGCATAACGGGTTGGATATCCAGGTTAATCAAAAAAAATTGAGTACTCTCTTATATATCTATAGTAAGATAAATAACATTTCTTTCCTCAGTAAATTGTTAGCATTTCTTGTACTCAATTTTATACTAATGAAAGACACTTATTGAATTTTACCGATAGTCATTACAAGAAAAGTGAGATTTGACGATGCGTCTTTTAGCGATGACATGTTTCCACCATAAGTTATAACGACGACATGTTGGTATATATTATTTCTGATGATAAATGGTCTTTCATCGACGACAAAAGTCGTTGCTACAAGTCTTGTTTCTTACAGTGGGCCCTGTTTTTACGTTCGTACAGGGCCCATAAAATGTCAGGAACGGGCCTGTTTATAATATAGTATAAATATCAAATAAAAAACTAATAACACGTTTTAGTTTTAATTATTCTAAAAAACTTGTTAAATATTCAAAAACATTTTACAATTTATTATAATACCTTTGTCACATATAAATGTTTTGTATTACATAAAGCAGTTAATTTTTTTTTGGCATATCAAGGATGAAGATTATGATTTATGCACGGGATATTCACCAAAACGATCAAAATATACATGAAATATTGACGAAATAGCTAACTTTTACAAAAATTGCCAAAATACCCTCACGGATCGCCCCGGAGGTAGATGTTTGACCATGGGGGGCGATCCCCCCTTCTTTGACCAAAAGACAAAAAAGATATTAAAAAATTAATTTGGTGGGTCTCACATGCATCACATTTAAGAAACCAAATACTGTTTGCCTCAATATTGAGGAATCTACCTCCAGGGGCGATCCACCTCACCAGGAGCTGATCCATATTTTATTTTATTTTTTTCACTTTTTTTTAGTATATCGATTAAGGGGTGTTTTTAATAAATAAGAGACGATATTTAAACTATTTTTTTTTATCTTTTTAGGATCAAATGTCATGATTTTAGTCTATAAAATAAAACACTTCTACTCTCACAACCCGTAAACACAATCTACCGTGACAAACCTTATAAAAATATGGTTGTACATTAATATATAAGGTACATTTTGGTGAATATCTCTTTATGCACATGTGTTGAATACTTGTACGTATTAGGTCAATGAAATTTAATAAGAAGTCAATGAATTATAGTTATTGAAACAATATACTAACTAATAAGTAATAACTAGCTTTTAAAATTCATATAATTTTGTGGAAGTTCAACCCAATCTGAACTGTATTAAAATTGTTCATATTAAATTAAACAAGTTTTGACTCGTTACCAACCAATCCAAGTTCCTTGGTATATTTGGTATACTGCTACTTCAGTGAGATTTATTAAAACCACAAAAATATTTAAAAAATAAAACAATTGTTTTTTTTATATAAGTTGTTTCACCCCAATATTAATTACATTTTGTTAATAAACCATTTTGCAAGACTTAATTTTTAGAACTAAAATATAAAACGTTTTATTTAAAGACGTAATAAGTTGCTATGACATTTTTGGGCTTGATGATAAGTTATTTAAAACACTTTTAATATAAAACGTTACATTTATCAATTTCATAAGACACTTTTGAAAAAATGTCCTATAAATTATCTTTTTTATAGAACACTTGTTTTTATAGGATATTTTTTCAAATAGTGTTCTATAATATTGCTAACAGGACACTTGATATTAGAAGTATCCTAAAAGCCTTGTTAAAAACTACCTATAACGATTTTAGATAAGACGTTTTATTTTTTTGATCATGTAACTTTAGTCCTATAAAACGGTCTATTAGAACGCTTAAATTTTTTTGATGTTCTATAAACTCGATCTTGTTGCAGTGTAAAGCAGGGGCACATGCACGCACACGCTTGGCCCGGCGATTAAGAGCATTGACCAAGCTTGAACCACATCTAATTTTTAATCCAAACCATTAGGCCTTGGCCTAGTGGCCACCTCCTTCCGTAAATGCCTTCTCTTGGACGTGCCCACCCGGGTTCGATTCCAGGGGAGGACAGGTTGTCTTTTCCGGTGCTTGCTTATGAGGTATGGCAAGTAGGGTTCACAAAATATGGACCACAGGGCCATGAGGTCCCTGCCATTAAACCTTTTTTTTTTTTTTTTAATTTTTAATTTTTAATCCAAAATACATAGGTGTTTTTCTATTTTGACTATGTTATACTGAATTCCTTATTTTATTTATTTATATTTTTTAGGATTATCTCACGAGTCAAGTCTATGGTATATGGGGTCACTGTCTGTATGCATATGTACAGATGCAAACCGCTATATATCTATCTTCTTTTTGGTTTCTTGGTGACTAAGCTTTGGAAGCAGTCTATTAAAGACTGGCTTAATTTTCTACACCAATACTTCTAAACCATATATCCTGCAAACCCTAACCTCCATAGTCATGAATGGCATGAACCCTTTTTCTACTGATCAGTGGATTCAACAGTATCCCAACACATCACTGGCTCCATCAAGTGGTAACCCCTCTAATCCGGCTACAACCACACCGGTCCATAATGATTCGAGCTATGGAACCACTGGCCAAAGTGGTCCAAAGCCGATACGCAGACGATCTAGGGCTTCTCGGAAAACACCAACCACTCTACTGAATGCTAGTCCGACCGATTTCAGGGCCTTGGTTCAACGGTTCACGGGATGCGATAGCAGTGTTAGCGTCTCTTTGCCTTCGGCTTCAGCTGCGGTTTCTGTTGCGAATTTACCAAAAGGCCCTCTCAATATAGATTTTGGACGGAATGATCATGTGAATGGAAGTTCATCAAGGTATACGTATTTCGATAATCAGATGAGATCATCATCTCTACCAGTTGGTGGGTATGGAAGGGAGGATGGTTCTGCTGTTTATGAAGCCATTGATGAATCTTCATTAATGGCAACGGAAAGAGATGGTGGCAGCCATGGATATAATGTTTGATTGAAGGTGTTCAAATGTTCATTAATTCATACTGAAATGATGTTTTATTAATTTTTTTATTTTATTTTTCTCTATTAATTAATGTAGATGTTACTTTTTACGAGCTTAAGCAGTTCAATTCAGTTCAGTCGGTTCGGTTTCAAGTTCCTTTTAGCAAAATTTATTCGAGAAATCTTTAGTTCTTCAAATATCTTTCTTTTATTTTAATGGTGACATTGAGGTTATTTAAGCAAGTTAATGGTTTCAATTATGATAACAAATAGTAATCGATAATGGCATAAGATAAATCAAAGAGTAGATTAAGAAATTGTCCTTATGATTTATCAAAAGTTTGGTTTTTGTCTCTAAAGTTTCAAAATTGCACCAATAAACCTGTGGTTTGCATTTCTTTACGGATGTTCTCTCCCGTGGCCGCAACGGCCATTAAGAGCACCAATTAAGGGCTTCTCACGTGGAAGCATTTTGGTCATTTCGCCTTATCTTTTATTTTCTCTTCCTCTTAAGAACGCTTAACTAAGCCCATAAAAACGTATTCAAACTCAAATCCAAAAACATTTTAAACCAGAATTATTCAAACATAAAATTATGTTATTATGTGGCGTAGAAGACCAAGCCCTATTGATGCAGGAGGTCTATACATGACCAGGCTAACAGGGGTGCCCCGTTAAACGCACAATTTTTTCGCTATAGGACTCAGTTCAAGCTCCTAATATGTCGAATCAAAGCTTGGAACGAGGAGAACGCCCTGTTTTAGGCCTCAAAATTTAAGCATGTTTTTGGACACTTTTGTAAATTTTTTATTACCTTTTACGATTGGGCTTTGATGTTTGACCCATAGTCTTTTTTAGACCCATATTCATTTTTGTCTTCATATTTATATGTTGTTTGTGTGATCTGGATGGTCATTCACCGAATACAAAAGCTTTTTACTTTTCTTCCCAAATTTGAGTTTAAAGCCTAAAGTTCAATATTCATTGAATCAATGAATTGTAGAGGAAATTATTCCCAGAAATTCAGAGAATCAACCGGATTAGTAATTGGTTTCGTTATTGTTCGTTGCATTAGAAAGCAACAACAATTGAAGAACAAGGAAACCGCAATATTAATGAAAGAAACTATTGTGAAATTCAAAATCAAAGACAATTACAGGGGAAAAATTAACTATATATGTACTAGAACTATAAGAACATCAAAACCAATCAGTCATAAAATGTTTCTTCTGTTTGAGATTGTTTATAAAAACAACTTATTCACTTATTTCGGTGTAGCACCAGTAACAAACACTTTTGAGTGTTTGGATAAAGTGCTTATACGATGCCAAACCGGTAATAAAGAAGTTTTTGAAAACCATTATAACTTATAATAAGTTAATAAAGACTTTTATAAAAAAACATAAATTATTTTAAATAAGCAAATCCCAAACACCCCCTAAATTCTATTCTTCAAACGTATCACAAAATGGTGGTGGATGTATGGTGATGGTGGTCATGGCAAGGAGCCGACAGGAGATAAGTGGGGCTTCCCTAAAGAAGATGGGTGATGAAGCAGAAGTATAAATATATTCATAACATCATATTATATTATTTTGTTAGTTGTCTATAACATTTTAAATCGTATCATTCCAACAATTTATGGATTTTATATTGAACCCACTTCAGATTGGATTAGATTTCGATACAATAACGTTCTATATCTTGAAAAGCCTAAAATATATAGATCCTTTTTTCTCTTACGATAGGGTTTTTAAATCGTACCATCTTATGGATTTATCATGATTTTTTATGTTGAAGTGTCGGAAAGGTGTTCGTGACACAAACCCACTCCAGGTTTAACATGGATTTCAACCAAGAAAAGTTATGTACATTGGAAAACTCAAAACATAAAAAATGTACATATTTTTGCTGGCTTTTCATGGATTTTTGCCTCATCAAATGCATTTATAATGATTTATACAACTATTTTATCATAGTACGACTGGTTTGAAGACCCGGTTGAAAAACTTCGAAAATGTATAACAATATGGTTATCAAATTAAAAAAATGATAATCGTTTATTTAATTCAGTTTTATTGTAATTGATATATTTTTTAAAAAAAATAAAAAATGGTAATTTAGTTTAGTTTTTAAGATAAAGTGATGGGAGCCCATCTAATGATTCGAAATCAAATGATGTAGGTCCATTGAGTTGAGATGAAAGATTGGACCAATTACAAGGTTTAGGTCCAACATTATAGTCTTGGAGCCCAAGTGGAGACTATGTCATCCATAACCATAAATCACTCAAGTCCAAGTAATTTTGGCCAACTGAATACATGATCCATGTTTTAGCCATAAATCATTCATTTCAAGTCTAACAGACTCAAATCGAAGCCCACTTAAAGACCTGCAATTTAAGAAGAATCAAAGCCCAAAATAAAGGAAGAAATCACGTCCTTGAATCAGCCAAATAAAAGACCCAAGTTCAAGTAACAAATCTCATTGATTTGGAAGGCATTTTAAATGTTCCTATAATTATGAAGTAATGAATCACAAGATATTTGAAGATTGCTTCAGTTAAAGTCTTTCAAGGAGTTACCAGAGAGATAAGTATTCTTATTGATATGATCGATATCATGAAATGTTGTGTTTGTTATCTAGATAAGTAATAGTGATTATTTTTTTTATATATATATAGATAGAGGCTCAATGTAATCTTTTGAGGATACCTTTGATTTAAATGAAATTGTGAGTTTAATCTATTTATGTTCATTGTGCACTTTTGGCATTCAATACTTATTAATCAACTTGGTAGGTTGATTATGGCGTATCAAGGTTCTTGTCTTTGTATAGACAACGAGTCACAGTTTCCACTTGATACTATCTTAGGCAACCATTAGACGGTTAGGAAAATCACATCAGTTGGTATCAAACCCGGGGCTATTGGTTTACATAATATTTCTTACCTACTTTTCTTTCTTCTTAATTTCTATTAATCGAGATCCAAGAATCACATATTGGTAGCGAGTCTTATCATAAGTTGATATGATTCCTATTATATAATGACGATTGAAATTAAGTCATCATTCTTCTTTTCTACATTTTGTTTCTCCAATTTTTATTGGTACATAGTTCCTTGCAAAAGAAAGACAGAAAAAGCTGAGCAAAAAAAGAAAAAAAAAATATTCAACCAAAACAAGTAACAAAAGGAAAAAAAAAAAGCAACAAAAAAGAAAGAAACAAGAGAAAAAATACACATAAAAAAACTCAAAACCAGTATCTTCTTGTTATATTTTGAAAAACCACAAGTCAAACTTGATAATTGATTATTTGGTTCTTTTAGAACTTTAAGAGAATAAAAAGAGTGATAAAAGATTGTGTGGTGAGATCAATCGAGGGTAAAAGCCATTTATGAGATATACGAGGGTTGAGTCAACCACTTCCTGCGAGAAACACACGAGGGAATGTCATGAGCTATTGACCTTATTTTTTTGCGGATTTCTAAGATGGGGGATGATTAACCCCATCTAAACCTTCAATTTAAAGCCATGATGGATGAGATACGCGGATGATGACAAATGAATTTAACCAAGTTCATGAAAGAATGGATCAAGTAGAGGCACAAACACAAAGGAAACGATCTCGTGATGGTTCTGTTGTGAATGAGGATGAAAGTGCAAGAAGAGACGAATGGGATAGGGAATTCGAAAGAAGATCAACTAGGAGGAGGCAAAGAAAGAGATAATAACTGTAGTTACATAAAGATGAAAGCCCCTTCTTTTCAAGTAAAGTTAGATTATAACACCCTCAAATCTAGAAAGATGGCTAAATTAAATTTTTCTAAGTACATCAAGGGATAAATCCCTTTCTATAAATCAATACGTGAATTACCTTGAATAGTGAAACTAGATTTAATCATCACCAATATATAAACTAAGCCTTACATAAGTACTAGGTCAAGGTTGAGTGTTACTAAAACCTAATAACAGTTGCTATCTCCACATGTGGAAAAGTCACTAATTATCTAGATACTTCTCATGCCTCTAATTAACCCTCAATTCAAGACAATGTCGCTAGTACCATTCCTAAAAGCCCTGATGCACATGCCGACAATATAAAAAAAGTTAGGTTTAACGCCTAGTGAATTCAAGCAGTTTTTATCTTAAATATAAAAATGGTAAAACTGAAAAGATGTTATTTAAATCATAATTCGCAAAAATGAACTATATTTAGTATAAAAGCATCCAAAAACCACCATTACTGTGATAACCGGGTTCCGTTTATATATAATTTGGGGTGGTTTGAAAGGTTTTGGTAAGTAAATCAATTTAAAATAATTGTGTTTATGTGATATTTTACTTAATTTTCTTCCACCGCCTTAAATGTTTTATGCATGAGATATTTATTGCATCTCATCGATGAGTGTGAAAATATGAGCTTTAAAATAGTAAAACTCCACCGCCTGTGTTTTGATAATATAAAAGGGATAAGATAAGATTTACCTTATCTATTCAGTTTTGAGAGAAATAGGAGAGAAAAGTTGTTGTGTGTGATCTTCTGTGAAAGTCTGCGTGAAGTTTTTTGAAGTTGATTTTGTGTTCATATTTGGAAACTGTTACTGTGAGATTCATTTTTGTATATGTGCATATAAGGCGAGTTTTTGTTATTAAATTTTCTATGTTTAGTATTTGAAATACTTGAACTAGTTGGTGTTTATGTGGAAGAAAGGTAAACTGTTTATGAAGCTGTTTTGAGTTTAGAAAGGTAAATTGTTATTGAAAGCTGTTTTGAGTTGATAATGAAGCTGGGTTTCGAATTGTCATAGTTCTTAATATGAAGTTTCTATGATGAAACTGTTTTGAAGCTATTCTTGGCAAATAAGACAAATTTGATTATGTTTTATGAGGGAATAAGGGTGGCATATCAAGGAGAGGTGCACCATGGGATAAATGTGACATATGAAGAAGAGGTGAACCATGGGATAAGGGTGACATATCAAGGAGAGGTCTACCATGGGATAAATGTGACATATCAAGGAGAGATGTACCATGGGATAAGGGTGACAATTGTGAAATCTAAGTTTTTATCACAACTCTTTCATCACTAACGCCACAATCAGTAGTCGTAAGAAAGATGGTGGAATGATTATCTCCATGCATATCATCAGA